CCTCTAGTCTTACACTGCTAAATTAAGGACAGCTAGAGCAGATAGCCCTCGTGTAGCTTTGCGCGAAATTTAAAACAAACAAACAAACCACTCTTGTTCAATTGACAAAAAAACATCCCACAATCGTGAACTTTCTCGTCTGCTCCACTTGACACATTCTATATTCTAATGAAGCCTTTCGAAATTACTCTTTTATGGCTTACCCTCAAAAGAGCAGTTTCGAAAGGCAGTACCACCTGCTTTGGACGGCAGTGCCGTTTATGTTTTACTTGAGACTGCCCAACACACTAATCACTAGGTCAGACGTGCCATCATGCTAGACACAAATGCTGTCTTCAACATCTTCCATTATTCAATAGTGATAACGACGGATAAAGTAATCTTTAAAGTTGAATTGAATTGTTAAAAGGGTTTTGTTTGTTTGTAGTTAAGCACGAAGCTACGCAATGGGCTATCTGTGCTCTTCTCACCACGAGTATCGAAACCCAGTTTCTGGCATTATAAGTCCGTATACATACCGCTGTGCCACTGCGAGAAGGGGGGTGGGCGGTTGAAAGGGACGATTAAATTTTCATCAACCCGAGTATTTTATAAACCGGTTAATTATAATCAAATTTTTGCTCACGTAAATATATATTTAGCTAGTAATATAGTCGCAGTAAAAGTTATTAATTCGTTAAATAGGACATTTTATAACGAATTTACTGAATTTTAGTTTTTTTCGTTACTTTACTCGTATCTGAAAAAAAAAGAAGCAAAAACAACCTGACGAATTTATTTTTAAAGCCTGCTGTGGCTCAGCGATAAATTTAAGGGCTTAAAACGCTAATAATTCGGTTTCGACACCAGCGATGGCAGACCACAGATAGCCCATTGTGTAACTTTATGCTTAACAACAAACCAAATAATTATAAAGTGAACACTGAAGCCAAGACATTTCAATGCTAGAACAGGGAAATATTTCTCTGTATGTGTTTAAAAGTCCTTTTATGACATTATATAGCGCAATTACAGAGAGTTAAAAGGGCGAGTAAAAGGCTAAGAAACACATTGTTCATTTGAGGCATTGTGGGAAATGTCTTGAGAACAAGATCACTGTGATGTTGTCAAATTGAGGCTGTATAAACAAGTTGTCTCAATATTAGGACCTTCTATAAAGAAATGCATCAAATAACTTACTTCGAAATTACGTCGCAATGTAACATTATTTTTCCTTTAACTGACACAAAATTTAACCTACTATATGTTTGTTTCTTTATTGAATTTCCTGCAAAGTTTATCAAGGGCTATCTGCACTAGCTGTCCCTGAGTTAGAAGTGATAAACTAAAAGAAAACAGTCAACATCACCCACCGCCAACCTTTGGACTATTCTTGACCATCAAAAAGTGGGATTAACCATCACATTATAACGCTCCTCACCCCTATGGCTGAAAGGTCGAGCATGTTTGGTGACGGAATTCGAACCCATGACCCGCAGATTGCGGCCACGTATTAAGCGACCCGATCCATTGCTGATGTAACCATACTGATTAGGTCAATCCTAGCTCTATCCCTGTCTAAGCCAATGTACAAACTGACAACTTAATCTACTGATCATCGAATTCAAAATAAGATAATTATATATTTCTATTAGGAATATATATATTTATCATAATCTCATAGCAACTTGCTTATTTATCAGCTCTGTCTATTTATTATAATTGGCCAAATACAGTCTTACATTCATCTTTATCTCTTCACTATATAAAAACAAAAACACACAGTTATACGTTTGTCCTGTTATGATTTTTAATAAATCAGAGTTGGGGAATAAAGTTTTAAATCTATAAAAAGTGTCAACTACATGTAAGATAATTAGTTGTTGGTAATACCACAATCTGAGCTAAACTATGTATCTACATGTTTAGGTGTGAAAGAAACAAGAATAATCATAATTCATATAGTTTTATTCTTAATTTATTGAAGTAAAAGTGACCATTCTTTGTTTCAAACGACTGCTTCTCAGTTGCTTGCACATCTAAAACAATAAAACAGTAGATGAGCCAAATATATAAATATAATGATCCGAGTAATTTAATAGGATAATGTTTTCTTAGCAAAACTGTATTAGTTTCGAACCTTGGAACTGCACTCTTCCATGATAAGAATGATTCAATGGTTTGTTTTGAATTTCGCGCAAAACTACACAAGGGCTATCTGCGCTAGCCGTCCCTAATTAAGCAGTGAAAGACTAGAGGGAAGGCAAGCTAGTCATCACCACCCACCGCCAACTCTTGGGCTACTAAATGAATAGGAGAATTGACCGTCACCTTATAATGCCCCCACGGCTGAAACGGCGAGCATGTTTGGTGAGACGGGGATTCGAACCCGCAACCCTCAGATTGCGAGACAAGCCCCCTAACCACCTGGCCGTATATAATGAAACCAGGAATGTTTTATTTATTAGTAACATATTAAGAGAGAGAAAAAAATTCTAAAACTCAGCTCAGGTCTCTTTAGTCGAGAGTAATTATATTTTCATAAGTCGTGCTGACGACTTTAAAAAGTCGCTATTATCAAGCCTGATAAACATCGTAATTGGTGGAGTGACAGAGCAGCGAAATCATATGCATCTCACTAATGTAGCATGAACCTATATCCTAGTATACCTAGCACTGATGGAAAGTCACGAGTTTTGAGTTTAAGAATTACTTGGTTTAAATCTGTCTTTAAAAGACAGTTATCAAGACTAAAATGTATAATGTAAAATTCACCAATAAAGCTTTTCTGTAATTATTTTTCAAAGATGTCTTTCAATTACTTTCTTTAAGTACATATTGAACTAACGAAAAGAATCGTAGCCTTGAGTAGCCAACCATCCAACTGTCATTCTTGGTGTTTCCTGTCTGCATCTGAAAAATATTTTTTTAGAACATCACACTCTTTCAAGTTTCTGTACATTGGAACACGTTTGAACTTCTTCTGTAAATTGAACTTTAAAAAATTATTCTTTTTTTGCATTAGTCTTGGTTAGGAAAATAGTATTCTACATTAAACAGATTGATGTTGAGACACATATACAACTGTAGTACTTAGTATATTAAATATATATTGCGGACATGAACAACTGTATCATTCGTGCTATAAATACGGAATTGTAATAAGTTATGAAATATATAGAAATGTAGTTTTCTCTTAGTTTCGGTTTTTTTTCCATATATTTTGTAATTCATCCTGTTGCATTACTCATGACAAACAAAAGGGCATATTATCGGAAATCTAGTGTTACTTAGTTACCTGTAAATGAACTGATTTTAGTGGTATTTGCCACTCAGACCAAAACCACCTAATCCAGCGACGGCGGGACGGGCAACAAAGGCAGCAGGGGCGGCGGCGTAAGCGCCGTAGGCTCCATAGGCGGCAGGGGCAGCGTAACCACCGTAGGCTCCATAGGCGGCAGGGCCAACGATACCTCCAAGACCATATCCATATCCATATAGACCACCAAGGGCTCCTCCAGCAGGAAGGGCACGCTGGTTGTCAGTACTAACAGTAATGGCAGAGCTTCCGGTCACAGCAGCGGGGGCAGCTGCAGCGAAGGCAGGAGCGGCGGCAAAAGCTGGACCAGCGGCGAAGGCAGGACCAGCGGCAAGGCAGGACCAGCGGCAAGGCAGGACCAGCGGCGAAGGCAGGACCAGCGGCTAAGGCAGGACCAGCGGCGAAACCAGCTCCTGCGATTCCGGCTGGACCTAGAGCTCCTCCTACGAGCATTTCTTTAATCTAACTTTAGAAAAAAGAAATATCAGAAAACGCATAGAAGCGTTGTTTATCTACCTATATGAGAGCCAATGTATAAAACCTACCCAAATGCCTTCAAAATGTGCAACTGCGATTTATAATCTCTGGAATACATCTATGGAATTAATACGTTTCACTTCATACAATGGCCACAATCATACACCCCTTTCCTGTTCTAGGCGACACTGGCAAACCTTTCTTCCAATCAATGACATTTTAATATGAAATGCTAAAATATTTTGAGTAACAGCAAACCAAACACTACCTATGGCCATCAACTAAATGTAAGAAGAATCAACTACGGTGGCTTTCAATACATATGGCACAACAGCATGAGATCATGTTGCAGTTAATGTAACAAATAAATGTTGTTTACTATAAGATTAGGAAAGGCAGTTACGCTTCGGTTAAGTGACCAGAGTAAGTGTTGATGCCTACAGCGAATGCACGAACCAGCCGAATTCTACGAATTCTCAATGACCATAGAATCAGACCAAAAACTTGTTTACTTTTTTTTCTCTCTCTCTCTCTATCAGATGTTTCTATTCACAACAGGTGCTTTACCAGTGAGATTATCTATGAACAGTCTCGTTATTACGAAGGTTGACCAGTTATCAGTTCTATTTCATTCAACATTATTATTATCCATGCAGCAATAACCTTATTGGATAATAACACCTGGTGGTAGTTCACTAATATTAAAAGCCCATTCCCGACCTACAGATCTTTATTATATAACTGGATTGTAGATTAACAAGAAAAAATTTGTGTAAAACCAAAACATGGAAACTTTCTACAAGAAATCCTTGAATAACTAGTGTACAAACTTGTCAAACAAGTTGACAGTTGTTCATATAGTGTCCTTGCTGACCTTGCATCGCCTTCTGCAGGCCATAATGCACCAAAAGGGAATGATTTTAAAACTGTATAAATAGGAAGCCTGGACTCCAAATCTCCATCATTTCTCCACTTCAACAGGTTGATCTCTTCAGCTAGTAGCTTTAATCACTTCACCAAAATTTTCATCATGAAAACTGCTGTAAGTATAAATATTATTGTGTTCCTAAGTTTACTCGAACCAACGTTAACAGCGCTTTAAGTATTTTCAGACTTAAAATGTAAACTTCAAGATATTATAGTATCAATTATTACTGTTAATTAGACCAAGTAAGCAGTGTAAACTATGTATAATGAAAATATTCTGCTATAATAACTGTACAGCATAGAACTGGTCTAATAAAATCTTGTAAAATAATGGAATTGAAATGATTAACTGGTGATTAACTTAAATTCAAAAATCTGTAGTTTTAACATATTAAGATTCAAGAAAGTTTACTATGATAATTTTACTGTTTGAAAATCAGAATTCGTATATCACCTGTGTTTGTTTTTAGGTTGTTCTGTGTGCCTTTATCGCCGTAGCCAGCGCTGGCATCTTTGGTCCTTTGATATTTCAAATTTAAATTGTAATCACCTTAATATGTGTGAGCAATAAGTTTACAATTAACATATTTTGATTTATCGGTTCTAATGTCATTGATCAGTTCGCTACACCAAAAAATAATTACCTAAGAATTTAAGTCTCATATTCATGATTAGTAAGTCCCACAGTGAGATAGCGGTAAGTCTACAGACTTACGACGCTAAATTCCGGGGTTCGATTCCACGCGGTAAACATAACAGATAGACCAAAGTGGCTTTACTATAAAACACACTCCATGGGTGCTCTTCAGACACCATCTGAAGGGTACTCATCTAGGTAACTTTACACCAGTCAATCCATCTGGATATTGTGGGATTCTAGCTATTTTGTGATTGGAGGTAAGATATCTATTGAAAATTAATATTTTCCTACACTGAAAACATATTTCTGATAGATACTTACCTCCTCCCACATTTCCTGCTCATCCTTCCCACTTTTTTGTACCTAATCTCGAAGGGAAGATTGGGTTCTTCTGCATACAGGAAGTCAGCTGGGCTACCAGGGTGTATGGCACTCCTGTTGGTGGAGGGTTGTTGCATATTCATTTGTATGCTATAGTGTAGCTAAACCACATGGAAGTATCAAGGCTAGTGGTGAGTAAAAATTGTGCAATATAGAGAGCAGTACAAGTTGAGGAAAGCTATTTTGAGAGAAGATGTATCTATTGGAAATATATTTTCAGTGTTAGAAATATTAACTTTTGAAGTAAGAAATGACATGTTTAGGTATCTTCTTCATTCGAACGCGAGTTTATCTATTTCTTAAAAGTTTTCCACAAAGTGATGTTTCCTATAACACGAAAATGTTTTTATTTAATTAAACACTTAATGTTTCACTTTACAGCTTCTTCGGAAGCGTTCACTAAAACACAAACCGAAACTGACAGTACAAAAGCAAACCAATCTCAAAAAATTAATTTGAATAAAACTATGAATAGCATCAGCAAGGGAAGATCAGCATACCTATATGAAAATACAAAACCACCTAATCAACATACTAGCATGACGATC